AGTACCTAGATATCATCAGAGGTACCTGAAAAGGCTTGATCAATAGATGTCTAGATATCATCAGAGACATCTAGAGATCGCAACAAAATGATCAAATATGGGGCCTGACGATTGCTCGAACAGGTTAGGGATACCTAGATAGTCACAGGCATCCAAGGGATAGAGATATACTTACCTGGTGATATCTCCGACTCTTGAGGGCATGTCTCCTGCTGGACACGGTTTTAGGCAACATGTAATATGCATTCATGGACAATCAAGAACACATATACTCATGCACTATAAATTCAATCGATTTTCATGCATGACAATTTTGTCAAATCAGCATCACTAAATTTCACTGGGAAAATCATGATAAGACAACCTGAACTCACAAGTGGGTGTCTTGAAAATGTTAAATGAGGGACTTTCGGTTCGAAAGGGCTTTCACTCACTCTCATCAAAAAATGCTGATTTATGAGAATCGCTCTATCTCACCATCATCATGTCGACAAGGGTCTGAGTATTCTCGCAAACAGTACGACCTTACCAATCCGAGAGGTCTTTGCTGGGACCGTAACGTGGGCTTGATCAATGGCTTAGCAAAAGGGGACTCTTCGAGTCGAGGATATTGAAAGAAATACTCCGCAATCGTCTCCGGGTTTACAAGTCAAGAACTCTGCAAAATGAGATAGAAATGGACTTGCTCGCACTTCTTCGAGCTAAGCTTATAAACATCCGAATCCTACGTTAGCTCAAGTGCCATAATCTGAAGAGACTTTGTAAGGGACGTAACATAGGCTAGGCTCATGGGTTGAGAAATGAATGGATCATTAGGCTCAAAATGTGTATAATTGGGGTGAATGAGTTGGTGATCATCTTGGCATTGTCACCAGCCTTCTTCTCCATCCTCGGGAATTGTCTTTTCAGCGAATGCTTTGGGCTTGAATTCACCACTTCTCTAAATTTGTAGGACTATGACTATCCCACTGGAGATGATTTTGACACACCTATTTTTTCATTGGGCATCGGCCTTGCTTTTACCAGGCACATTGCTTTTTCTTGCCCCTCTTTTTTTTTTTTGACACTTGACATACGTTGTTTACAATGTAAACATTAGCCAACTATGCTCTGACTGACTATGGGGGATGATCAGCAACTGGGTTTAAGAAATGAATTTGCAGGCTCAATTGGGCTTAGCAAAGCATAAAGTGTGTAGGATAGAGAAAGAAATGCTCTTCATCATCCTAAAGCACTTGAACTTCGTGTGAATTCATCTGAAAAAGCAACATTAGAAGATTGATGCAAGTGAGAGCAAGACAATCTCTATTCATTTTTTACCTTATAATGCTGACTTACCTCCAGTTTGCCCCGATGTGGGGTGGTTCTTGACAGGGGTAATTTGAAAGGATTTCTCCAAGTGTTTAAGCTCAAAGTGGTGAAACAATGGATAAACTGTAGTGTTTGGGATAGAGAAATGAATTGCCTTTCGTCACTTTGGTTGCCGTACCTTTTGCGAGATAACCCTTTACCTTGCAGACATGGAATTTTTTCACTCAACTCACTGGGGATTAGTGCATGGGACTGTGTATAGGATAGGGCTTGCCTTTCATCATCCCGATGTACCTCATTCAACACATTCAATTCATTCTACATGAGTTATCAGATTGTCAAAATTGATTCCCCTTTTGAAATCGATGATGCAGACTGACAAAATGATCAAGCAGAATTTAAAGCCAATGCACACATTCCATCTTTAAATTGATTGAAACCATTTATTCATAAGTGAAATGTTTGTGACTTAGAGTATAAAACCAAACACTTGAAAACTTTTGTCACAAAATGTTAAATTTTATCAGGGGTAATACATCTTCACAGCATCAGAATTAACAGGAGTGGAGAACTCACGACCATCCACTTCTGCGAGAATCAGGGCACCTCCAGGAAGCACCTTTTTGACCACATATGGGCCGATGTAGTTTGGGGCAAATTTACCCCCATGAACAGGAAAGACTGGCAGTACCTTCCTTAGGACTAGATCATTTACCTCGAAGTGTCTTTGATGCACCTTTTTGGTTGAAAGACTTACCTACTCATGCGGCAACTGGATCGGGCGTTTCGTCTCACTCTCAGGGGGATTTGCCCCTCTCTTCACTTCTCTGGGTTCTCCGGAATCACTCAGGTTAATAGTGATAGTTTGGTCTGATGTGAGGACTTTGGGCCTTTCATGCTGCTCTAGATCACGCTGAATATCTGAGGAATCGTCGAGTTCATCGGTGTCATTGGGATCAAGCTCGGTTGAACATAATTCATCAGATTGGACTATTCCTATACCCTCACGTGTCACAAGATTGCCCTTGAAACATAAAGTAGGGGGTTCAGAAGGACAAACAGGGTTAAACATTGCATTTTTTTAAAATTTTTCTTTTTTGATTTTTTTTGGTGACTTTTTTTTCGAAATTCTTTTCAAAAAAGTTTTAACACGAGAAAGCATGAAGAAGCCCAGGCCTCAGAATTCTCCTTGGACTATATTTTTCTTTTATTGGTTGGATATCATCACCGGGCTGGTTTGATATACTTCAACATGCCCTCAAAAATGAAAACAATTTGTAATTTCATTGATTATCACCAAATGAATTACATTTATTGGAATGGAAATTGCAACAATCAATCCTAAAAATGAAAATCCTAAAAAGCAGTTCCCGAGATGGGGCAAGTCCTAAAAAGCAATAAAAATTCCCACGCCGGGGAATGTGCGAAAAAAGTAAAGGTGTTACTCTTGTGGGCCAGTGCCCATTTCCTCCAACGGTCCTTCCTCGATAGCTCCAATAAGCATGTTATCAAACAAGGCAGTGATTCCCTCCATCGCATCATCAGGGTCTACTGTCATTGGAGGTGTCGGTTCATCCATACCTTCCCATCCGTCAAGGACAATATCACGTGGGTCAATATAGAAGCTTGGGGGAGCCGAGTATTTCACATAGTAGTCGAACTTGCCGCTCGATTGCCCCAGAGTGTCGATCACCTCCTGCTTTTCATGCATCATCCTTGCAGGGCCTGGGAATGTAGTGCGGATGCGTGGAGGCATGTCCTCAAGTAGAGGGTCGACCTCGTCTTCTGCGGTGTTTAGCGCAGCAAACTCCCTTTCCCAATCAATGACCACTTCGGAGATTGTGGAGACGATGCCAGTGTGATTAGCATAGACGATCATCCCGGCTTCCACCATTCTGCAGATTCTTTCCCTCATGATAGTTATGGGAGGCACTTCATCTTTCGGGTAATAACTTGCTCTCACTAACCCATCGTAGACATCGGTGGTATACACCTTGACATTCTTGATTCGACCAGCATCGAAACTAAATATGGCATTCACATTGCCCGCATGATCAGGGAGCGGGTTGCTCTGAACATTCGGCTTAGCGGGTTGAAAGGAAAATGCCTTTGTATCAAGCAAGTTTTGGATCCGATGCTTGAGAGTGATACAGTCATCAGTTGAATGCCCCACTTCACCCATATGATAATCACATTTCTTGGATGGATCATAGTTATAGAACTGCTCGGGGTTGGGCCGCTTTGGCTCAGTGGTAAGCAAACCTTTCTTCCGGAGGACCGCCAGCACTTGAGACAACGACCCGGGGAGGGGGGTGAATTGCCTCTTATTGTTCCTCCTCTGAGAGGGTTGACGACCCCTGCTATGTTGTTGAGTTTCTGCTACTTGGATCGCTGGGGCGACATTAACATTCTTCCGACTTGGCTGGGTATACGTCACATTGACTTCAGCTGCCGGCTCTTTCTCCTTTCTTGTGCTAAATCTTTTGGTCAAAGAATACGGCTCCACAAACCACCCATCTTTCAGCCCTATCTCAATCTGTTCGCCTATGGGGATGAGTTGATTGAAGTTGTCAGCCGGAATGGCTACCATCTGATTACGGTACTCGAACGGGAGAGTTTTAATGAACATCCTCTTCAATTCACTGTCTATGGGTTCTGGGATAATCTGAGCGGCTATGTTTCTCCATCTGATAGCATAATCCTTGAACGATTCAGTCTTTTTCATCTGAGCACGCTCGAGGTCTTCGCGGGTGGGAATGATGTCCGTTATGAACCTGTACTGTTTTAGAAATGCTTCACTAACTTCCTTCCAGGTTTTGAGGCTATTTATCTTCTTCATGAGATACCAGTTCAAAGCGGGACCTGTCAAACTTGCTTGAAATGCATGGATCATCAGGAGTTCATTATCAACGTACGGGGTCATCTGTACGTGGTATAGCTGCAGGTGGGCTTTTGGGCAGGAGGTGCCATTGTACTTGTCAAAATCCGGCATCTTGAACTTCTTCGGGATTTTGATCTGTGAGTAAAGAGACAAGTCGATTGAGGGTGAATCATGTGAGCCTTCCAGTTGCTTCACTCTCTCTTCAAGCTTGTTGACCCGTTCATTAGGTTTGTCCTTGTTGACGATAATCTGGACGGGGTCATCTACTAAATCGGGAAGATCGTCATCTTCCTCACTATCGGCATTCTTTCCACCTTTCTCCTTTGGGGCTGATGCCTCAGGGGATGCAGGAATGGGAGTCAGCCGAAGGGCTTTGATCTCAGTGGACATCTGTTGCATTGCAGCGAGGACTTGCTTCATTTGGTCCTCAATGCCAACGACACGATCTCGTAAGTCAGTCTGATCGGCCATTCTAGTTTTCGATCGCGTACGAATAGGCGATCGTGATCGGTCCGTAATTACCTAATTTCACGGATAAAATAGGCATACATAAGTGTCAAGAAGAATCACACGCCGATCCATGACATTGGTCTAACTGCTTTGATTAAAAATGACCTCTTTATTGAAATGACGAAATTTTTACAACGACTGTAACTTGAAATTACTTAAAGAAAAATGCAAAAACAAATGACTCAATTCCTAAACAACGAATCTAGAAAGAAAAATATCTTAAAAGACACTAGCCATTTCATTTGGCTTGATCAATATACAACTGGGATGTGATTTCCAAACGTAATCGCTTATTCTCCTAAGCTTTTCTCTTGAGACATCTTTTCTCAGCACGGTTGGTGATCTTCTCAGGCACCATTGGTATTTTCTGGAGTAAATTATCTGGAATCTTGTGTCGTCGAATGTATTCAGCCGTAGCATAGTACTTTCTTTCTTTACCCTCTAATTCTTTTTCGGGCCATATGAGCATTTGTGGATGGCACATATCCCACAGCGACTTGATTAAAGAAATGCTATCCTCATGGTCGAGGTCTCCGTCAGTGAAGTCGACTCGAATTGAATCAGCTTGCTTCAAAGCTGGGGGAAGCTCTTGCACCACTTGATACTGGCGAGTCACCCTAGTCGGGTAATATTCCATTGCCCCAGTGAATCCCAGTAAAGGGATTGGGCCAACACGTCCACATGTGAGTCTGGCCTCACGAACTTGGAACCATTTAGAATGCCATAGGAAACACTTGGACTTTGGATTTTTAAAAAAAGCCAACCAATTGGAATAATGATAATCCGGTGCATGTTTTTGTTTATTCTCAAATCTCATGATAGGGTGATCAGAGTTGCTAACTTCACGTATAATCATTAAACCACCAAACCCTTTTAAATGAGATAAGAACCAAATTTGCAAAAGCTCAGGAGAAGCATGAAAGATTTTGTCACCATTTTCTTTAAATCGAGAAAGGGAAAGAAAAGTTTCTGCCAGGAGGGCATTAACAAAGTTCATTCCCCTACACACTTGCCCTACTAACTTAGCAATCAAAGGATTAATAGCATTCTTACAGTGAGGGAAAAATATAAATCCAAAGAAAGCTAATAGGAAAATCCTTCTCATTTGAAATGAAGTGCCATTTTGAAAACATTCATCAAGAAATGAAAATGGGCAAGTATTGCGGTGACCTTTCAAAATTTTTCTTATCTTTTCTTCCTTGATTCTCAGAAAATCAGATAAAATCGAGACAGGATTTATTCCGATAGGTGGACTAATTAATTCTAATTCCAAAGGTTTTCCAATGGCAATGCTATATTCTTCCAAGGTCGGAGTGAGCTCATGCTTACCAAAGACGAAGGTAGTTGTCTCTGGACACCAACAATGGGCAAGTGCTTGAATGAGGCCGCCATGAATGTTGATACGCAACAGAGGGAGGAGTCGGCCAATTGTTGATTCCACGAACTCACGACTAGCTCGGTCTAGCTTGTCCCACCACGCGTTGAGTTCCTTCTTGGGAGGGAGAATAAGTCGAATGTCGGAATTTCCCATTGTATATTGACCAAGACTTGCGATCAACCTAATGTCATGGACCGACAAAACAATACGATAAAGTAAATAAATTGCAAAGAAAAAGTTCAAAGGACTTACTTTACCAATAATCGGGTGGCAATCACATAGACATACGCATGCTACGTGGCTCGATTTCTACTCTAGAAGGTTTAACAAAGTGGAGCCACAAGGATGATCGGACTAGCCGCGGGCATGCGGACTAAGTCGGGTCCTCGTAACTCCGGCATCGTCAAAGAGCCGACCCATGTCGCGGGCATGCAGACCGGGGTGGTAATCTCTTTGACATCAAGAAAGAAATATCGGGATTGAGATGGGCAACTCGTACCGCGGGCGGACGGTCGGAGTGGTATCCATCTCAATACCATCCTAGGTGATCCTATGCGGCCCAGGTCCGGCGACAGGTTGTGTGTGCTAGAGTGTAGTGAATATGCACAGGCATGCACAATAGATCATGTGCAAACAGCGCTTCAATATCAAAATTAAAACATCCAATCTCAACACCTCCCTGCAAGAAAATGGTTAACAAACACTCCACCCCTTATAACTCCCATTCTGCAAAAACATTTAACACCTTAAACGTTAGGGACGTACCTGGAATCCTCGCTGCCAAACAAAAATATTTTTTCAAAAAGAGAAAATTCGGCCTAAGTCCACTAAGAGTTTTAACTCAAGTCCCCAGTGGAGTCGCCAAGCTGTCGCGACCTAAAATTTCTCAGGCTAATGGATTATTAAGTCTAAGCTTAACTCGGGCCCTCCCAAGCCCTTACCAATTCGCAACTTAGGGTTTAAGTTTTTAACATGCAAAACTTTTCATGCTTGGAGTCGCCACTAATCTATTTGTGGTAGGTCGATTAGAAACCTAAATAAAACATAGGGAGATATGTTTTATTCCTACGAACAAGAGATTCTAAGCTCGGGGACTTGGTTACGCTAGATCTAGTCTAACGCCCTTTCGGTACCTTTTCTTTTCAAAAATATTTATGCAGGCAGTCTGGATCCATTTTATTACCTAATCACTAACATGTGAGGTGTTCATGCGGGTGCGCAACCATTAATGAAACACCCAATAATGCAAAGCAATAAATAAATTGCAAGATAGGGACTTACCTCAAAGCAACGAAAGCATCTGCGATGTTAGTTAGAAAATCACATCAACAACCCTAATATGATTTCTAATTAACACGCAAATCACACGATATTTTTTGGAGTTTTCGCTTATTTAATGAAAAAAACTAAACTATATGAAATGCATAATGCTAGTCTAACATGACACACGACATACAATTACCTTTAAATGGATTATTCTAGTATGGCACACAAATGAACCTAGACATGCAATTTCTAATGACACGCGTGCAATGATACATGGCAAGGTATGAATGACGTGATAAGATGACATGCAACATAGCATATGTGAATGACGTAGCAAGAAGACACGCAACGTGGCACGTAGCAATGACATGGCAATGATAATGCAAGCATGATGCAATTAATCTATATGACATGCACATGATACCTTTTTGTATTTTTCATTGAAATTCGAAATTATAAAATGATGAAAATTCATTATCTAGTGCAAGATATTATCCAATTCATTTTAGGAATTAAACTAGGCCAAAATCCTAATTTAAATCGGAATGTTATCCTTACTAGATAAACCCTAACCTAGCATGCAATCTATCTAGAAAAATTTACCTTGATACTATCTAATCTTTTTGGGATTTTTAAACAGAGAATCGAATCAAATCAAACCAAAGATCAAGCCAAAATAAAAAATAGCATTCAATCACCCAAGATATCATTCATATCCATTTAAATTTGGAAAATAAATTGACAAATCGTATCTCGGGCATGAGGATCGGATTGGCCAATTCTTTGCACAACCGTGAATTGTATCTCGGGCGAGAGATCGGATTGACGATTTCCGTGCGATCGCGAGCCGTATTTCGGGCATGAAATCGGACTAGCAATCATAAGCACGTTGTGAAATAAGGAAAATATCCCAATTCACGGTTTTCGAAAATATTTTTGGATGTGATCATATTGACACGACATAATTGAGATCACAATGAACTCAAATTAGGCAACTTAATATACCGAAATTAAGTCGGATGACATATTACCTAATTCGAAATATTGCACGGATGACGTTTCCGAATTTGAACAATGGATGGCAGATGGGACGCAGTGCTTCACGGTGTGGTGCTCGCGGTGGGCTTTACGATGGCGTGGCTCTCGTTTGTGAGCGTGGCAGCAAAGGAGCGGCTACGAGGTCCAAACGAGCACGATAGTGAATGAACGTCGATGTGTCTTGCGGGTGAGACCACTTTCCTTTTCTTATTTTCCTTTTCGGAATCCTCTGTTCCCAGAGCACGTGGTTATGGAATTTACTACAGGAGTGGCTGTCTTCGCCGAACAACCTGCAAGGAAAACTGTCAAACAAGCTAAACTTTAATTGGGACTTGTAGTTGGGCCAAGGAGTTCGCCAAACAAGGCCCCAATAAAATTTGTTATATTGGACGAAAACTGAGAGCGTTGCTGGTGGCGATGACTTGAACGCTACGAGGGTGTTGCAGTGTTGCAACAGCTTCGTGCAAGGTGCAGTTGCTTCGTCGTTGACGCAAGGACTCTCGGTACAGGACCCTCTCGGCCACAGATCAGCAGGTCGCCATCGGTACAGCAAGGACTTCCACAGTGACTGCTTTGTCGTCGTCGAGGAGTAAGCGGCTTTGATGGGTATCAGACGACGATGGTGAGGCGGTCAAGTTCGCGCCCGAGAGGAGTATTTGCGGCGGTAGAGGGACGCTCAGCTAGGGAGCCTCTCTTCTCCTTTTCTCTTTTCTCTCTATCTTGCTCTCTCTCTCGATTTTTGGTCCCCCCCGCTGCATGGCCTCACTCTCCTTTATATAGGCCAGGATATCAAACTTTGGACAAGGAAAAGAAATATATTCTTTTATCCCTTCCCAATAACGTGAGATTCACTTTTTCTCCTTCCCTTTCTTTATTATTTTGCCAATATTGTGTGAATATGGCCAGAGAATCATGCATCAATTCTTTCCTCTTTATTCAATGCCGGTCAATTTTCTTGCTCCCATGATGACCGAATTTTCTCAAAATCCACCATGTACGCACATATACCCCAAAGATTATCCCTGATTTTTTATCTACCATGGGATAGCTAAATCTTGATAATCAGATTTTCTTGACTTGATGCACGTGATTTTTAGCCACCGCGGGCTTAGTCCCTTTAAACTCATAATCATTCACTCAAGTCCACCCACCGCCGGTCTAGTGTAAATGCAATTATATGGGCCTAATTACTGATGCAAATGCTCCTACTATCTATTGGCAATTTAACTAATTAATTTTTTCTAGGGACCGGGATTGATCCCTAATTTTTATGCAATGAATGACTAATTGGGTCTCCAAAATTTAGGTGTCAACAATACGTTTTCTTAACCATGATTTTTATTCTTGTACATAGTTGCATGACGCTTGGATGCGGTAGTTTGTGTGATATGTTGATGATCTTAACCATGCTTGTTGAATTATGATCTTGTGAGCTTTTCATGAGTACATACAACTAGGGCCTTGTGTGCATGGATTAAGATAGAGGATAATAAATCGGCTTGTGCAACCCATGATGTGTGATTACTAAATGAAAGAAGACCGTCGTCACATAGTGTTAGCGGCGATGCCTCGGTTGAGCCAGAATGCCTTAGTTAAGCTAGGATGCCTGGGTTGAGGCCGGCGGCCTCGATAACTAGCGCTGGGATGCCTTGATTGAGCCCGGATGCCTCAGGTGTGCTAGCTCCGGGATGCCTCAGTTGAGCCGGAATGCTTTGGTTGAGTTAGGATGCCTAGCATGAAGCCGGATACCTCGGTTGAGCCGAGATGCCCTGATTGAGCCATGATGACGATAAATGAATCTTATATGGGTGCCGGTATGTGTGTTTATTGATAAGCTGAAGGTTTCCGGATGCTCGAAGGATTCTGGAGGACCCGTTACCCACGTATAGAGAAGGCGATGCCTGATGGATAAATGAATTCATGTGTGAATATTTTCGGGTATTTTTGCATGCCGATTGGTTGCGAGGCTCCACGTATAAATTTTCTTGTACATTTTTATGTGACCGGGTAAAGGTGAGCTTTCATGTTAACATAGCAAGGGCAAGGTCAAAGTCTTTGCTATTGATTTTCCATAAACATAAAGCGGTGAAAATATTTGTATGCGTTAGTATGACGGCGAGGCATCATCCTGCACGAGTATTAGTGAATTTACTCATTGAGTTTTCAACTCACTCCCGTTGTTTTCCATGTTTTTAGGATGAGCTCCGCACCCCCGGTTCGTTTTGGTGTAACCGTCGAGATGGAGGTTGACATAGAGGAGCTAGGATTAACCTCGGTCTTCGCTTGTGATATGGTTTATACGTGGAACGGGCCATAGCAAAAGGCTTTTAAAATATGTTTAAATAAAATGGCAATAGTGTGTTTTGTCTGTTGTGCCTTCATTGATTTCCAGCTATTATTTGTTTGGGAATTTGTTTATACACGTTTTCGATTGTGCTTATTAATAAGATAAAAGAAACGGGACGGCAACGAGCTTGACACGTCGCATTAATAACCCGAAGGTGAGGTAACGATGTCACATTCCTCGTTTTGTTTTTCTCTAAATTTCTATGGCTCCCGACTTAATTGCAAAGTTACGATTCGCTTCCGCCGCATCGCCGATTAAACAACAAGGAGGAAGCTGAACAAGACAAAAATAAAGAAAGGGTGAGTTCGCAAAGATTTAGATTCAGTTTATAAGCATGTACCCTTTTACCAACGTTCATCTATTTTTCTAATTGGACGAGTCTATTTCCTAAGACATGCACTCTAGAACGTGGATTTCATCAGTGTGCGTGAGAGAGAGAGAGAGAGTTCGATAATATGACTAGGGTTCAGCCAAAAATGACATGGAGTTACTGGTAGGCAACTGTATATTTATAGGCATCATCCTCCTAATTTTAATTGGGTTCTTCCTTTTTTTTTTTTGGTAACCGAGGTGTCCGGGCCAGTTTGCGCGCACCTCGACTATTTCTCGGGGGAGACTAGCCTGGGACCAGTGCGTCTAACCACATAATCCCAAGTACGCCCTAATCAACTGAGCTACCCATGGGTGGGTGGTTCTTCCTATTCATCTTGTCCTCTTCGGACATTATAGTTTGTTAAGACAAACATTCAACGTGTTAAAATGAGTTGATGCATTCGATCTAACAGTCCACTGATCTCCTCAGAAAGTGACAAACCAAGGGGACCAAGCCGAGCGAGCAAGGTATAGTACAAGTTACCTCGGTTACATCAAATCATTTACATTTTAAGATTATGTTGAACTCCCATTAGATCTCACTATAAGACACAAATTTCCATATTGTTGAATTTATTATATTCACAACACAATCCATAAATTAAGTCCATATTTTTTTAAAAAATTGAACTACTTACGTTATCAAAAGACAAGTTAAGTTCATAACAGTAAATTACTATGTATAAAATGGGCCGAAGGACTTGATTGCAAGAGACAGTGAAATTTTAATTAGAAGAAAATGGAGGACGAATTTGCAAAAGCATCCAAGGTCACAAGGACCAAAATTGGACTAAACCCTCGTCGTGTTATTAATGGGAATTATACCCTATCCTCATTACATGTTTCCTAGTCTCACCATATAGGTCACTCGCATTCCAAAGTCGAAGCCAAGATTAAAGATAATTAATTCCCTAATTATTGTAATTATTGAAGTGCGGACGAAGAAAGATAGAACCAAACTAGGGTTACAGTCCTTTCACGTTGCTCCTGCTCGAAAACAGCAAAGAAGAGAGTTAAAAAAAAGCCCACCATGCTCTTTTGTTCTCCTTTCAAATGCATCTTGAATTGCGGTTGTTCTTCTTTGAGCTGCAGGGCAAGAAGAGAGTTAAAAATGCCCACTATGCTCTTTTGTTTTCCTTTCGATAGGACTGGCATTGCCTTGTTTAACAATGGCCTTGAGTTGCAGAAAGCCTCGAGTCAAATGCATCTTAAATTGCAGTTGTTCTTCTTTGAGCTGCGGTGCAAGAAGAGAGTTAAAAATGCCCACTATGCTCTTTTGTTCTCCTTTCGATAGGACTGACATTTCCTAGTTTAAAAATGGCGTTGAGTTGCAGTGAAAGACTCGAGTCAAATGCATCTTGAGCTGCAGTTGTTCTTCTTTAAGTTGCGGTAAAAGCCTCCAGTCAAATGCATCTTGAACTACAGTTAGTGTCGTCTTTGGCTAATAGTATAATTTGAAGGAAATAATTATCAAATCAGCTCTAAACCTATTGTACGAATGCCAATTTGGTTCTAAACTTTTTAAATTTGCCAATGTGGTCCTAAACCTTTATATTAAATTCCAATGTAATCCTTTTGGTTAATTGACACCGAATATCACTGATGTAGCGCCTAGTCACCGTCAGTTGTCCCACGTGTCACGCTGGCATGGATAACTTGTCGATCGCCACGTCAGTGTTTTCGCACAATTGGTCAAAAGGACTAAACTGGAATTATGCGCAAAGGTTTAGAATTTGAAAAGTTTACAACTGAATTAGTATCAGTACAATAAATTTAAGAGCAAGTCGGTAATGTTCCCTAATTTGAAGGGCATCCAAAATTGCACCAGCAAACATCTCAATGACAGGGGAACGGTCTGCTAATCTTATGTTTTGGCAAGATACTGAGTAAGTCAGATTAGTCAGATGAGTTAGATGTAGAATCACCAAAGGCACTGGTTAACTAAGATTGGGTTACATTTGTATAAATTGTTTTTTTTTAATTTATTTTTTTTGCACGAAAACATTATTCTATACATGAAGTTACATCTTCTTCTTTACCACAAAATTAACAAGAGCTATTAGTGCGTGTGAAAATTTTGTCAGAGATAGTGTGCACAAATTCAATGGCAGCTGCATATCATCACCATCCATAGTGATCACTCTTATATCATATTACAAAAGTTATAAGAGTCTTTGAAACTTTTCTTCGCCTTTTACTAGAGTAACTAGAATATGCATACGTCTAGTAAATGATAATGGTATGGTTTTCAATTAAAAAATATAATTGTTTTAATGTTATCAAGGAATAATTTGCTACTTTACCTATTTCTAACCTGTTGATATTTATTTTGACAATAGAGCTTACGAGTGAAAATATTTTGGAGCGATAAAATACACGATAATAAAACGTACATTTAAACAACACAAATTTTGTCCAATGAAAATAATATCAACCGAGTATTTATTATTTTTGTAATCAAATATCATATTTCTCACTAATTGTTATCTTTCTCAAACTCAATCGATAATTTAAATTTAAGTTTTGAATACAATGTGGTTCCAAATCTGTAATGATAGTATAATGTAGTCCTTTTGACTGTCGATCTCGCATTTTTTGTCATGTGAAAAACTTCTTATTTGAAATTCCTGTGTGAAAGGTTCATGATTTCTAGTGTTACTTCGCCGATCTAATGCCGAGTTTATTCCTAATAATTGGTCTCCTAATTGCAAAATTGTCAAACCCAACAGTAGGAAACAAGGATATAGCCAAAATAAGGTGACTTTGACTTTCCTACTAGCAATGAAGGAGGCACGATAGAGTGAAAATAATTTTCCAGAATACACTCTCCTTTTCTTTTTCTTTTTCTTTTTTTTTTCACTTTTTCCGTTAGCTGGCATTTGACCGGGCCAAACGTCTCGTTTGCATAATGTTAATAAAACCTTCCCATCAAATGGCGGAAAAATAGCTGTCTGATTCTAGTGAACCGAGTGCATGACAACCATTGATCTCGTGAGATCCACAAGTAAAGCTCATGTGAAAACCCAAAAATCAACTATTGTGATACAATACAGGACGAAAATCCCAAAATGGAGCCACTTGGGGTGCGTATGGTAACGTTTCTATTTTTAGGAACAATTTCTTTTCAGAAATAGTTTTTTCTATTTCTATTTCCTGGAAGAGTTTCTGAGCAAAATAATGCGTTTGGTAACTGCACAAAATTTCTATTTCTAGAACAGAAATGTGTTTGGTAACTGCACAAAATTTCTATTCCTGGAATAAAAAAAGAACATAAATTCGTTTGGTAACTGCACAAAATTTCTATTCCCAATTTTTTGCATTCAAATCTATATCTTTTATTTAACTATAAGTACAAGTTATAAGTAAAAAAAATCAATAAGCATGATTTATTGGTTTGTCTAATCCTTTTTAGGGGTTTAAAACCCATTTTAATCCCTAAACTAAGGAATCTTCAAAAATACCACTTGGGCACCTCAAAAATTTAAATTTCACTCAAAGTGGCTGGCCATAGGTATTCTAAGCCATTATGTGAATTTTTTTATATTTTTTTGGGGTAAAATTTATTAAAATTTTTTACTTTCCCTAAATCTGTTTCTTTTTATTTTTCCAAAAAAATTTTATGAAATTTTTTTAATTTTTTCAATTTCGGAATTTTGCAAATATTTAAGGGTTTTCTGAGTTTTTTTGATTTTTTATGGATTTTCTGAGAATTTTTCTGATTTATATGAATTTTGGGAATTTTTTAATTTTCTAATTTTTTATGGGATTTTTCTGAAATTTTTCTAATTTTTATGAATTTTCGGAATTTTTTAATTTATTCTAAGCCATTATGTTAATTTTTTATTTTTGTTTTTTTTGGGGAAAAGTTATTAAAACTTTTTACTTTCCCGAAATTTGTTTCTTTTTATTTTCTAGAAAGCTTTTTATGAATTTTTTCAATTTCGGAATTTTGCAAATTTTTATGGGTTTTCTAAGTTTTTCTGATTTTTATGGATTTTCTGAGAATTTTTCTGATTTTTATGAATTTTTGGAATTTTTTATAATTTAATTAATTTTTTATAATTTTTTTATTATTTCTGCCGAGAATGGACTGGACCGGTGCTTTGAGACGGTTTGCAGACGACGGAGGATGGAGGAGGAGCTGAGGTCGCGACTTGAGGACCGGACCTTTCTATTTCTATTTCTATTTCTAGGAACAAAGAAGTAGATTTTTTCTACTTCTTATTTCTGCTTCAAATCTATTTCTTAGCTACTTTTTTATTCCAGAAAATAGAAAAATAAAATGCGTTACCAAAAGGATTTCTGTTCTTTTTTTGTTCCAGGGAACAGAAGAACAGAAAAATAGAGAAACAGAAGCGTTACCAAACGCGCCCTTGTTGGCAATAAGAAATTTAAAAGGAAAAAAAAAAACGTACGTATCCCATTGAGCTTTGCACTAGGTATTTTCTCGCTAATGGATAAATTTTAAAAAGCCCACTATGCTTATAAATTCATAATCACATTACAACGTTCCGAAACCTTTGGTTTTGTTACTTTGGTGTGGAGTCAGCGCTTCAAAAGTGGCCTTGAAGTACAGTTGCTTGGAATTGCAGCTGTTGAGAAATTGCAAAATATTGAATTGGTCCTCGGGAAGAGAATCTGTCGATTCAAAATATTGAATTGGTCCTCGGGAAGAGACAATCTGTCGATTCAAAATAGATCCCTCCATACATCCGGTAAGGATGTCTTGTCAGTTCATAGAATACAGAAGATTGCCCCGAACGTGCTTACTAACCGAGTCGAAAGACTCAATGCAACATAGGATCAAGTCCATCCTGCCTGTAGAAATGTGGCGCGACTTCTCTCAACCACGACGGTTCGATGGTCGCGACATTGCGCATGTATTGCCGGTCGGTCGAGACGATCGAGTGGTAGACAACCCACTTTGGATTTACACTGCAAGTGATGTCGTTCGAGCAAAGAAGGAATCAGATACAGAATCAGGCGCCGTATATTGTCGATGCAGAAGATCGACTCTCGGCGGACACAAAATGAAAAAATATATAGCATTGCTTACTCACCGAAATAAAACCGAGGACGGGTGAATGTAAACTTCCTGGGACGTTCTCACGGTCTTGTACATCCCATCATGACTAAATGGCTTTTTAACGCGTTAAAGGCCAGAAGAAAAAATCAAATATCAGCTGACCCTGACTATGACATACTACTGAAGTGTAACTAGAACACCGAGGATGACTACGGTCATGAACATAAATAGCAGTGGCTAGCCCAATAGGCGACGGAGAAAAAATCACCTCAAGCCGACAAGCGTTCGCGAAGAACCCCGTAGTAACTGCCTTTCTAACAACCTGCGAGAGATTGTGAGAATAAGAGCTTTCCTCAAGAATTTTCGCTGTGAAAATAACGGTATCTTGTCAAAGGAGCAAACACGAAAATTTCTGCATGACTCAATGATCCAATCTCTGACGATTCACCATGCCATGCCTGCCCTTATGATCGGGCCATTTGACGCCAATATTTCTAGATTTTAACCAGCCCGCCTCATGAAATAATCAACATTCACCCATAAAATTCGAACCATGAAAGTGATTTCCAAAAGGGAGGGGGAAAAGGGAAACAATATCCCAACTGCATACATCACTGATTCTCTTTGGTTTTCATACCGAGGAAAAAAACAATAAAAGGAGAGAATTACTAGGGGGAGCAGAGAAGTCTCATCTTGGTACTGGACTTAAATGCAACAGTAGCAGATTAATGTGTAATAGATAAAATTGTGCATTAAAACAACGGCATAATAGGAAGAGCGAAACACAGTAAATCTCGACAATATGTCAAAAGTAGGAAGTGTTGTCCAAAACTTCTCGTAAAACATGAGGAATATTTGCTTGGTTTTAAGAGCGGAAGCAGAGTGTTGGTTGACTAAATCTTTTTCCCAAATATATTTTGGTTCTATTATAGTTCTCTTGAAACATTATAACATGAACAGCATTTTGATGTCACAAACATTTATTTTTCCATGATATCATAAAGAAGTGAATCTAGTATCATTTGCTTTAACGAAATATCACTTAAAGCTTAAGCGCAAATTCCAGTTAGAGCATTTAGACCAGCAATGCTTCACGGCTTAGGATGTTACGCAGTCAACTTTAGCATGGTACAAATGAGTTTAGCAGATACGGAGATGTTCCGCTGGATGTGCAGACACATAAGAAGAGATTACTAGAAACAAGTGCATCAGAGGAAAGGTTGGTGTCGGGTGAGGATAAGATGAGAGATACACGTTTAAAATAGTTTATAAATGTGAAGAAAATGAAATCCAGAGGCTCCAACAGCGAGATGCGAAGTTATGACAGAGATGGAAGGTAAAAGAGGTAAGGAAAGGCAGAATGAAGCGAACAGATACTTTGAAGAAAAGATCCTGTGTAGTTGTATACTATGGAGAAAATTACAGGCCAGGGTGAGATGGCATAAGAAGACCCAAGTTATAGATGCAGCTTTGTCAGTAAAGACAAAGCTGTCGATGTCGTTAATGTTCTTAAAACTCAATTTACCTATCATGCTGCTGCTTTTGGAGACATTCCCAAGAAAATCACTTTCTCATTTTGAAAAACTTTCTTAAGAAGATGATCAAGATTCACTTGAGCACTTATGTCCGAGGAGCTACACCTCAACAGCCAACAAATTTAGACCTGAATAAAGTATTGACGTGAAGTGCAAGATTGATTTTATGGCCCAAAAAACTTGGAAGGAGAGATTGTGGCTCCAGAATCACTCAGCGAATTGCGAAAAGCTCTCTCAGTAGGCAGTGAGTGAAGTTTCAGACTAATCATAAAGATGAGAAAATAATAGAAACCAGAGCGTGAGTAAAAGCATTACCTGTATATCATTGTCGCAAGATTTTAAAGTTACTCCCAATCTCTGAGCTATTCTTCTTAGTTGTCCTCTGATATCAACCACCTTTTTCTGCGGGAAAAAGAACAATGAGGTAAAATGGATCAAATGTAAAGCAGACAGGCATACAAAAACAAATAACACCAGTCTTCTAAACTGCAAAGGTGCATACCATTGCATGATAATTAATGTAGTTCTTATGACACCACTGCGATGATTTGCCAGACTGCAGAAATCCTTTGTACACATTTAAGAATGTTACATGATCACCCTGCATCAAAATAAGAAGGTAAACCCAATAAAATAATTGATGGTGGAAATATTTGCATTAATAACTTCAAAAAATCCTAAATATCTTAAGTTTTAACCCATAAGACAAATGAGATGCTTTAACAAAATGAACAATTTTTAGGAGAATGTCATAGCGAGAAAATAATAAAGAAGTCTACCCCAAGCACATATAGCTGACTAGTGGATAAAAAACCAAGATGCTAACCTCAGCAGCGGCAAATCTCAACTTTGCTTCATCCAGATCCTTTTGTATTCCCCTACTGGAAACCCAAATAGACTGAAAAAGAAATTTCCAGAGGTAATTTAAGCTCAAGAAGTTCCTTTACCATCAAATAAGTCTAGCTATCGATGGCACAGGCAGAAACTATTACTTGGATAGAAAGAACTGCAGCAATCGTGAGGACCTCCTCAGAACAACCCAACTGGTTTGAAGACAAGATCATCTTTGAGATCATTGGGTCCTATACAAAGCTCAACTGATATAACATAAAAGCTCAATTGAGATAACAAAATGCAGAGATCTGCATGAACTAAGTTAATCATGAAAACTTCAAACAGAATTTTTCAAAAAGTAAATCAAGAAACAAAAAACCTTGGGTGCTTAACCAGTCAGAATTCATAGCTCAAAATGCTAGTGCATAAGAAACTTCAACACTGAATGAATATGCAGCACTACCATGAAGGAAAAGGTTTGCTCCCGGAAACAGACATCTACAACCCACATGGAAAATAAAAGTCGGTGGCGAGGAGTTGGAATTGACGAGTACCAATATGATAAAAAATAAGTGAAGATTGCTTATTGGCTTATTTCTTCTCTCCAATTTTGCCTATCGGTTTACCAAGAATAAGTGTGTTCAAATAACACCAGATTAACAACATATCTACCACAGACAGAGATGCCGAAGAATTGGGATTGGGAGTGGTGGAAGGAATAACAGCCAAATAAAAGCATGGCAGTGTACATAAAATTCAGGCATTAAAAGCAAAATTTGCTTAAAAAAAATAATAGCGGTGACAAAAGAGAGTCCAGTGCTACATACAAGTGGAATCTCAGCTACTTGAAAACCAAGAGGTGCCGTAAGTTTGGCGTCATCATCAAGTACTCCAAGAGAGTATAGCACTTCAAGAGCACGAATCATTGACTCAGGGGATGGAGATGCCGGCCAGTCAAAGCCCAAGATATTATCTATCCCCAGGGCTTTCAACTGAAAGATCAGTAAAATATGATTAGCTTCAGAAATTTGAAGAAGAGTGACCGTTCATTATAAAAACACACAATATACTTATAGTCAGTGAAAATTAGCCCCAAAGAAATGTAAATTGCACCACGGACACTATTTTTCATGTGATACCTACATGAAGTTATTTGTCAAGCAGAGTGGAGTCTCCTTTCAGCATGTTGCTGAAAGGTCCCTACCTTTCTTTTGGCCACTAAAACTTACAAGCGAAAGATAACATGCTTGTCAATTGATGAAACAGTAAAGTAAAACAAAGAAACATGAGAAGTTGCTTAAGCAAGTAAAATTTAAATGAAGTACAACAGAAGAAAACTCGTCTATATCTTACCAGATCCCCAACAAAAATTGGAAGAAGAATTTTCAACTACTGGTTAAAGCGTAGAAAGGTTCATACAGAAGAGAAAAGTGTAATACAATTTTGATTCAGCTACAATTATGCCATTGACAAAAAGACACAACTTCATATTAAAACCACATTGGGTCGAAACTCATCCTGATCACTCCTGTTCCTCCTAAGTTCAGAGGTAGTTTGTTGTAAATGTAATAATATCATGAGTTATGCATGTATTCAAGAAAACTTCACGTGACAAAATCGAGGCAAGAAACTGCACACCTGAATCACACAGGAAACAAGATTTGATCTCTGTATCTCTGGGATCCCCTCAGCAGCCATTTCATTGACAAAATACTCTTCTGTATATAACCTGGTTGCACATGTAAGGAGAGCCAAAGATGCAAGTTCATTAGACTTGAGTATAGCTAGATGATAAGACATGACAATGTGCAAAAAGGAATACAATGAATCATGGGGCTCAAGAAAGACAGAAGATGTCTACATACATCACTTTTAGTTTTGGCCAAAGAGTCTTCAAACACTTGTCTAAGCAGACTTTCAAATAATTAAGTACACAATTAATTCACTGCGTACTAGTAATAGATGTAACAGAATTCTATCTTTTAATATGAACAAGTTTAAGCTTGCTCACAAGGTGACCTCATCCCCTGATTATGATTGGAAAATCAACTCCATGAAGTTACCATCCGCACTAGTAATAGATGTAACATAATTCTATCTTTTCTTTCCTTCTTTGAGGAGGGGAACCGGGAGAAAAGGGGGGAGGTGCAGTTTGCTATATCATTAGGCTTTGCTATTCCAATCATGAATTGCAGAAGTCATATTTAGTGCTATCCTAATGTTAATGCAAAATTTATGCGACCAGTGCCAAATTATCTAAAAACTTACGTTATTAGATAAAGGTGTAGTTTAATATTTAAATGCTGCAAATATTTAACCTCACACATAGGCCAGATTATACCTAGCCTACGGACTCCTATTCTAAAACCATTTAAAATTATGTAAGAAAAAACTAGCAAATGATTTAAAAACTTAAGCTTTCGAATAAAGACATGGTTTTTATATTTAAATACAACAAAATTTCAGATTGTATAATTATTTCCGTGACTCCTATTCTAAAACCATTTAAAATTATGTAAGAAAAAACTAGCAAATGATTTAAAAACTTAAGCTTTCGAATAAAGACATGGTTTTTATATTTAAATACAACAAAATTTCAGATTGTATAATTATTTCCGTCCATTATAACCAAGTTATTGATCAAAAAACTAGTCCTTGAGTGATTGAAAACATAAGCATCAACTCCTCAAATGTTCTAGTCTTTCAGGAAACACCACAGCACTCAAAAGGGGGTTTCTCGCAGTTTTGAAGGTTTGGTCTACATTCTTATTCAAGCATCTTGAGTTTGTTGTGATTTGTTTCATGTGTTCGGACCACTTTAAACATGCTTCTTTCATCTTCTCCTCAACAAAATGCACAAGGACTTTCTCGCAGGTAATTCATATATTGAAAGTTAAGTCAGCTTCTAAGTAACTCTTTGGGGAGCATAAAGCGGACAAAGAACCAAAAGACAATGTAGCAACCAATAAGTGGTTATCATAGCTCTCACATAATACGTGTCAAGTGAATCAACTTTTTATGGCTATGGAATAGCAATAACACATAGAAGCCCCAAGCAATCACTTCCTTGGACATTGCTCCGGTACTCTGTGGTAGACTCCTTCTGTGTTTAACTTATCAACTAAAAAAAAGAGGCACATTCCAACATCAAAAGCTAACTGAGAGTTTTAGCTGAGAGCAATACGTGGAGAATTTGATTATATGACAGCACAATATCCTATCGTAACTGAAGAAATGAATTATCAAATAGCTAATAGTTGCAGTCAGGACTTAGAGATAACTATGATATCTAAGGACATAAACTCCAGAAAAAAGATGGGTACTTTATACATTCGTTGTCAATACTCACCTGTAACACTTCCCAGGTCTAACTCTTCCAGCCCTGCCAGTTCTTTGTCTGGCAGATGCCTTAGATATTGGCGCCACTACAAGGTTTTCAATGTCTGAGATCTGCATCAGGCCCGACAAACTAAGTCAACATAATTTGTACTAACGTGTACGCATATGCTAGAATGATAATCCCTCAACAGCTCTAGACAAATGATGCACAACAATGGAAAAACAAAACGAATTGACAAATAACTGTACGAGGACATTATTCAATGAGAAAGAAAGCAAATAACCAGCTTTGCAGGTGCACACCATTATAGATGCTATCTGACTTATTTCAACTTAAAGGTACTCATGAGCTTCTACCAGTCCACACTGTTCTAGGTACTCAAACACAGTAAAACTTTCTCGGCTCTCAAAACGAAACTAGGACCATTCCTGAAAGATTCATAAGATGTGATAGAAACAAAATGGTTGTCAAAGACTGCTATTTAGCAACACTAACATATAAAAATCCTAAAGAAGATGCGACCTAATCTGTTTATATGATCTAAAAGCTTGTATGGATAGACTTTTGCTTTTTCCTTCATCTAAATTTTGCGGCGAGCACAGTTTGACTTTTTCTTAACTTGAAACACCTGATACTTTTACAATACACAAATGTTGGCACAAAAATTCAAAACTAGTTTTTAGTTTTTAAAAATTGGATAATATTTTAAGTTTCGCGGGAAAGCAAAAAAGTCGCTCTTTGCTTTTGAAAAAACATTAACAAACAGGCCCTAAGGGAATACGAGTGAAGTACCGGATTATAAAACCTTTGTTTAGAGAACCCACTGTCAATGACATAAACAATACCCTGCACCAGTCAGAAATACAAAGCAAGTTATAAATGGACTCATGCCAAGAATATTGAAATTAAGGCTCACAGGTACAACTCCTGCTTCAAAATTAGAAAGTCTAACCTCCAAAGTCAATGATGTCTCTGCTATATTTGTTGATATCACTACTTTTCTCTTCCCCCGAGGAGTGGGAGAAAATATTAACTCCTGGAAATAAATACAAGAGCAATTAAAATCTATCTCTAAGCATGTGTACAAAAAGAATAATGATTCCCAGCACCCTACTAGCACACCTGTTCTGCTCGTGAAAGTCCCGAGTACAAAGGCAAAACAATCAATCCTAAAAGAAGCAAAAGGAACAGATCAGTTAGAAACGGATATCTGAATTAGGTCTGCAAGTAAGGATATATGCCAAATGCTGCATGTCACAAGAAGAGCAGCAATAAATGGTTGTTTATGCAATGGTCATCCAAGTTCAGGCAGTGATCAACATATTGCCCCCATGACAGGGTTATGCTATATTGTCCCAGTGTCAAAGACAAACCGCAATAGTTGAAATCATTACCCTATTTAAATGCACCTACTTGTAAGTACTGAAAGACATGCTACATTCATGTAATTTTATGTATCCAAATTGTCTGGATGAAAAGAGAACCCTAGCTACATGCTAAGCTCGGATGAACATACCTGAAGAACTTTTTCTGTTGTCTCGAGCTTCTTCTGTAAGCAACTTAACAGCAGCTTCAATATCATCTTGACCAGTGAGAAACACCAAAATGTCACCAAATGGCTCCTAACAACAATTAAAGTTGTAATTAGGGTTTAACCTATTATTTGCCAATGAAGTACCGCCATGCGAGGTTGTCAAAAGGATGACTTAAACGAACCCCGAAAAGAAAAGGTATCGCTGTGACTAGTTTGCTTCTTTTTCTGGTCATTTAAGATATCCATTTTTGTTTCTTCATAAGAACATGAGTGGCAAGTCTACTTTTCTCAGTATTCTTGCAGGGTTCTGAGCTATATATGTCTAGTACTAACAATAGCTTCCCTAAATGGAGTATATATGATTCTAACAAGCACAGTACAAGCCCATCCCCTAAACTAGGGATCACATTGCAAGGAAGCATATTCTTGCTACCTAGTAGTTTGACACCTTAGATATTCTGCCATTCAAAGGCAGTTAATAAGCCGCCAAATGCCCAAAAAATGCACGAACTCATACCCAAAGGACAAAAATAACCTCACTTATCAAACGACCCAAAAAAACACTAACTTTTGCTCGAGAGAATAATTCATGTATGAACTTGTACCATCAGGCCAAAAATAACCTCACCTTTCAAGCAAAAAACAAAAATACATAGACTTTTACTCAAGGGACAAAAATTTCCACTGTTACCTTTTCCAGCAAAAATGCTTATGCGGCATCAGGCACAGCTAACGCCGCTGACATTTACAATGGACACATCAGCTGAATCTAACCGATGCCATGCATTTCAAAACAAAAACGATATCAATTGAGCAGGATTTTGGCTCCTTTTTTTTCAAAGAAGATAGAGAGTTTAGCCCCAAATCAAGTTTGCAAATTGGATGGCTAAGATTGTGCCTTAAACTGAGTATGCAAATTAGGATCATAAATCATCGATTTTATTCTAATTTGTGGAGTTTGAGCAAATCCTGAAATTCAAATCCTGAAGTTTGATTAGTGTTTCAAATTTGCAAATCAGGGTTTCAAATCAGTGATGTTGAAGCTAATCGAGCAAATAATCCATTATAATCGAAGTGAAACAACATCTTTCTAGCTCAACTGACATGTCACATCACAACCATTAGCCACATCAGATGCTAAAGAAACTTCTTTAGACAGAAAAGTCAACTGTGGATATATTTGTCCTAGAGTAAAAGTTCATGTTCTTTTTTGGGTCGTTTGAAAGGTGAGGTTATTTTTGTCTCAAGAGTATAAATTCATGGACATTTTTCTCCCTCAAGCAAAAGTTCATGCTTTTTTTGGATCATTCAAAAAGTGAGTTTTTTTTGGCATTTGGCTGTTGTTTGGCTGTTAATATCAGAGGGGAACATAGAAAAGTAACAAGTACAACCTAAAAGCATAGATTTGATCACAAGGTTATCATACAGCAGAAAGATGTTAAAGCATTTACCTTGTCATGAATCAACAAAACTGTTGAAACAGCAGCCTGGATATAGTCCGACACGGGATCCTCACCATAATGAATTTGCACATTAAAACCTCTACCCTGAATATCAGATCAATTTGTACGTTGGTCATGCATTGCAACTGCAATCACATGAGATGTGTGCCCACTTGCACACTGTCTCTTTCAGTGGAGAGAGAAAGAGAGAGAGACAGGTTTCAGCACCTCAACTGAGAGAATTGCAGGTTCCATAGTCAATGCAGGTTCCGCACCTTGTAGTCCTCGGCGCCTTCTAATAGATTACAACATACAGAAGACAATAGCCATATTCAACTTTAAAAACTTCAATGGAAAACTGAGTTCGACAGAATACTTGACTAAACATGGACGCTCTCATTTCCTCTGAATCATGTCGAATTTACGAGAAACGGTATTTGGTTAAGATCAGAATGCACATGTTAAATTATTAGAGGGCAATGATTCGGACGAGCCAACCAAAATGGATCTATGCCAAGGCTACAAATAAGAGACTAAAAGCAGAAAAATCAAGAAAATCAGGAACTCCACACACACAATTTTATCTTTTAAAATAGTGTGATTACACAGGTAGAACAAAAAAAAAAAAACACAAAGAGCAACTAACAACCATTCGGATTGAAAGAACAGAAACCCACAAATACTCAAATACACAACGAGAAAACTGGAATCACTAAATGTGCAGACTTTGTGCTTCAATTTAAGCAGGGTTATGCAGACTCGATTTTATGCTTGAAGCATCAGTCAGTGTCTACTTTTGCAGCTTATTCTTCAATCATGACTCAAAATCAAACTATCGCAGTTCAGACAATGCATCAAAGAGCTCTGATTTGGCCTAATCATGATCAGAGGTCATAACCATGTCCAACTAGTGGTAAACGAGAGCCAATTTGTCGAGATCAGTGCAGCATTAAAAAGACTTATGAATGCAGGGCACATTGAATGAAAAGCACTTCCAAATGAATTAATATATCTTCTTGATTGCAATATTTAATGAATATTCATATTCATTCAAGCTTGCATGTCAAAGAAGCTCAAAACAGAACAACCAACCAAAATCAGACAAAACTTAATCCAAGGACAGGTAAATGTGTCGAAGAAAACCTGGTTTGGAAGAAAGCAGACATAGATTTAGCTTCAATAGTGGCCGAGGATATGATCAACCGCAACTCAGGTCGCCGTCGTTGAATCTAAAGTTTCAGAACTAGCAATTAGTCTAAACTAGAAAAAACCGAAGTTCTCAAATTGCTTCCTGAAAGCAAGTAAAATACAGGTCTAAGATAGCTGTATTACAACCAAAACAAAATGTCCTGGTTGTACAAAATAATACCTTCTTCAGAAGACCCAGTAGAATATCGGTTGAGATAGACCTTTCATGGGCCTCATCCACCATTACAACACTGTTTTCACAACAGATGATGATAGAATAATATTAACAACAGAAATTAATCCAAGTATAACAGGCTAAAGGTCAGACAAAATAAAATATTTGTGAAACCCAAAATCCCAAATTTTTAGAATATACAAATATCAGAGAGTAAGTATTCATATATTTGTTAAACATTTTTCACCTCTGAAAAGACTTAGTATTCATATTCTTTTCCTTCAATGCACTGAAAACTTCCTACTTGATCATCTATTGGGGTCTCTCTCTAAAATTGCATCAAGAAGAGCTGCTAGTTTTCAAAATAATTACTGCTAAGCTAAGTAAACATCTGTTTAATATAACAGTCACCCTAATATAGCAGTATTGCACCCATCTCACTTCTACAATGGTGTCAGACAATCTAGATCCACCACCAAAATAGAAATTATTTGGCAATGCAGCTTGCTTCAAAATATTCAAGCAACCATTCTTAATAGGAAGACATCTACTCTGTGGACACGCTTGTTTGCGCATAGGCACATGCACAAACCAAAAGTTACACTGCAGGTAGACTCGTTGGTCTATTGCAGATATTCAAGGTGACACATCTCGCCATAAAGCAATCTTCCTTTATATTGATAGGTCCTAAAGGACTATACTAGGAAGGTAATCCTAGTACATCAGAACAGACAAAACTTAATAAAGAGGAAAGGAAGAACAAAATAAGATGACATTGATACTAGACACGACTGGAGCAAGATGAACAAGGGACAAATAAAAGATACAAAATAGTATAACCAGAAGCTTCAAATCCCTCTGACAATCTTTTGTTACAAATGTGCCATGCAACGCAAACCAGTGCCTTGCTACAAGATTTCTTTTGAGGTTGAATCACCCACAAAGGCTTTTCATTAGTGAAATAACTGTATAGCATTTCTATGCATGACCCAAGAGAAATTTGAAGATAATATGACACTTACACAGTTTCAAAGTGAAATCACAATGAAGAAAAAGGCCATCAACAGATTTGCCCGCATGTTTGCACATACAACACCAATGCCTGATAATATAATTATGCTTTCTGACAATGTCGGTAGTAAGAATCTTAATTCAAGCAATGGTCCAACGGACAAAGGAAATCTATAACGAATCTGAAGAAGCCAACTTGCTTTAGAGAGGAAGGGTGAGGGTAGAAATTCCCCAAGATGTTGTAAAAGGATTTAAAGCTAAAGCTCTAGCTATTGGGTGGATGGCATGCAATCTCATCTTATCCTGACCCGCAAACTTTAGCAGAATACAGAAGAGATAGAAAGCAGTCAATTAAAGGAAACTCCCAACCATTTGAACTCTGCATATAGCAAAGTACCAATGAACATTTGACCTCCCGGAGACATATAGTTTGACACAATCACATTGAGCCGCCAAAGTAGAAAACTCAGTCTTTTGAAACTCTCATCCATCTCAACTAGACCAATAGACATTGAGCATGCCATAATTAATCATGAAAAGGAAAACGTAATATTTAAGCTGGCATCAAATGAAAAGAGAAAAGGAGCATTAGACGGAAGCACGGAGTTCAAAGTGATCTCTGTGTGCATATGGATTTCTGCATACACAGATGCTTCTTCTTGAGTGTGGTCGCATGCACGAATATGCGAGAGAGAGAGAGAGAGAAGATAAGGGAAGACATGAGACGGCAATTCAGATACAGTACCTATACTTAGTCAAAAGTGGATCATCCATCATTTCCCTGAGTAGCACCCCATCTGTGAGAAACTTGATCAGGGTTCCCTGTGCCGACAAAAATAAAGAATGTCACCAAAAAAGAGTATATTCGAGCAGAAATTAACATTTCTAAGCCAAACCAGGCTCAAGAAACAATTTTTGTAAATTCTACATGACCCTATAACAGGCAAAGCACAACAACTCAAAAGGTAACTGAGCCACAGTTAAAGCAGTAAACTGACTGTACTGGTAGCGTCTTCAAACCGTATTGTGTAGCCAACTTCCTCTCCAAGCTTGACTCCCATTTCTTCAGCAACTCTTGATGCAACTGCCTGTCACCGAACATTTGAAGCTTAATAACATAAAAGGACAAATGCTAATAGAGATCGGGCTATAGACAAGCAAGCATAAAATAAAGACTAAAATTGTGGTCAATCTCATACAGTAGGCAGGCAAGTCCAAAAATGCTGAATTTACTACAGAGCATGATGGTTAAATATTGATCCTGCAATTTAGAATTCGCAGTGCAGGGAAGTTTAATATAATAAACTTAGCACATGAAGTGGACAAGTAAAAAGCTCAAATCCAATGCAAAGTAGGCTTTCTTTCTAACCAGTAATAGGCAGTCTTGGAAGTGGCAAATGAACAAGAAAAATAGTGAGCAGATGCATAATTGTAGTGCAACTTAATTTATGACCTGGACAGCCAGTCGTCTCGGCTGTGTGCAAGCTATTACACGCCCACCATCAGCCCAACCTGCTTCTTTGAGGTACTGCATTACCAAAGTTAATCACAACCATCAAACTTTTAAGAATTTCGTAATCAAAGGATGAGAAGGTTCCAAATAAGATAACTAGGAACTAACTTCAGGAGGCAATGGAACAATGAAATAAAGGCTATTGTTGTTGAGAAGCCACACACATTCTCTTTTAATCGTTAGATGATAATTCATCAACGTCATGGTGGCCAACAACATTAAAGGAAACTACAAGTCTTGAGTTCTGTTCTCTTTCAAGAATATGTAATACAAGCATAGGCATGACAAACATAATGCATAAATTATTGGTTCTGAAAACCACAAAACCAGCTTCACTCTCTAAATGGACAACAGATGTAATCACCAATGCTTCAAGGATTTAACAATTCAACCTACAAATACCACAAAGATCTCCCATACCAACAGAACATAAAGCTCAGACAACTTTTATTAAAGGATTCTTTTACAAAATTTCACGAAAGAACCATCCAGACATTACAGGCAAAGTAAGTCCATTATTTGCTCCAATAGCGGGAGTGTGAATCCTGTTACCAACCCCATGAACAAACTTGTACCTTACAATGTTTCAATTCTTGCAAAGAATGCTATCACGCTCTATGTTTTCCCTCCTCTCCATATATGTACACCCTATATTCTATTCTTTCCCCAATATTCAGATTCCATACAGGACACCATCTGTACACATTTACATCAAAATATACATTCATACACAAGACATCATTTCTCACTCGGTAAGCATGGCGAGCAAAAGCATTCCAAACAATAATTGTAAAGTGACCAGAAATTTTGACAATGTTACTCCCAATAAACAACCATACGGAGGCGACACATACGTATTTTCCCCTACAATTTTTACACTGAGAAATACGGGGTGCTTACCACCGAAATCAAGGACATAGGGCAACATTCTGCATCGCCTTTTAAGACCAATCTCATAGTTTCACAGACAGTGAACAAAGGCCGAAAAGATGAGAGAGCGGACACAGAAAAGGGTCAAATAGAGAACAAAGGAACAAAAAATTGGAAACAACCGAAGAGAATCTAAATTGAAATTGCATTTTTTCCCCAGAGTGAATTCGGTTCTGAGACAGCTATAAAACCATGTTGGTACTATCTCCGAGGAGTGTCTGTGACTTGCATCAAATAAAACTACACCTCCATCTCATCCTAACACATTCTGCTTCTTCCAATTCGGGATGCCTGACCTCCAGAGAAGCAAAAAGAACACAGAGCGAATCGACCCAAATCAAGAAAACACGAACCTGTGGAATCTGAGTGGTTTTGCCACTACCCGTTTCGCCAACTACGATGGTGGTCGCATGAGTCTCCACCAAATAAAGAATGGCGGTCCTGTACTTGTACACAGGAAGCCTTTGCCTCTGCCTCTCCATACTAGCAAACCCATATCTAGGCACAAGCAAGCATAACAACACAGAAATTATCGCCAACACTTCTTTTTCATTCCCCACTTGCGCATATCAACGAATACTCAATATGCGGGTGATTCGAAACCGAAAATTGTGAGAAGGGGACGCACCCGGAGGAGGATGAAGAAGCAGAAGCCGAAAGGAAGAGGACGCCGCCTTCTTCGTCGTCAATTAGTCGAGGCTTCTCGGTCCCCGGCTTCCAGAATTGCGCCATTTCACTCCTCCTATTGTTGAGCTTTGATCGTCTTTCTCTCTAGTTGGGTTTTGTAGGGAGAACTGCGTTTTCCCGCTTCTCGGTCCACTTCGAGGGGCGTCGGTCGGATACGAGCATGGAAACAAGACTCGAGACTGATGATACTCCCAGGTGGTTCCGTCGTAGGTTTAAATCCCCACTCGCTCGTTCGATCTCCGGAGTCCCGGACCCCCGGTTCGTATGTAACTTGTTGGGTTGATTCGACTTGCTCATCCGATTGCTAATGTGAAAGTCCTATACCATAGGTCACTCTAATACTGTCCTCACATGCACGTAAGAGAAAATGATTAATACTACCAAAAACCTCAATCTGATAAGCTATGATAAATTTATCAAAAACTAATATTTTGATCATCAAGATCTCAAACTGATACACATGTGACAAATTTACCCCAAATTAATTTTTTAATCACCAAAAACTCCAAATTGATACGCTTGTAATAAATTTACCATTCGTTAAATTGGATTAATATCACGAAAAATCATATATTGATAAATCTATGACAAACAGAGGAATAAAACCCTGGTACACCCGTTAACTACAACATGTCATCCAATTTAGCAATTTGACGCTAAAATTTAACGGAAACTAATGGAGGGTAAATTTGTCACAAGGGTACTGGTTTTAGGTTTTTAGTAGTAAAAAAATTAGTTTGGATAAATTTATCAAAGGGATACCAGTTTGGAGTTTTTTGTGGTATTAACTCAAAAAAAATTGTCACTCCTTGCATTTTTTACTTCAATAAAAGGAAATTGTTCTCGTATCCATATCACTCTAATGTTGCAATGCACTATTTCGTGTAATTTTTAGAGCGATATAAAAAGATTTATGATGGACTTGAAGAGTGTCGGTGAGGCCTGACTGATGAAAGGTAGAGCATGATGTTATCGGTATGTATGTCGGAGTCATGAGAGTACTTTATTGATTCACGATTAGAAAGATGTACTATTATTACTTTCAGGAGAGGTGAAGTTACCCTTGTTCTTTAAGGAATGAAATGAGAAGTTGCGAGATAACAATCTGGCACAGGATGTAGCATGGCTTTGGTGATCCAGGGTAGAGATAAACATCGTGGGTTTGATAGTCGAGGTGGAAACAAGTCAAAGTCGCAACATAGAAAGTTCAATAGTCACGTGAAGTGCTTTGAGTGTCAAGAGAACGGGTAGATGGGAAGAGATTGTCTAAAGTTGAGGAACAAAGGTGGTAAGTAGGAAGCGGCAAGCAATGTAGCGAACTTTACCAATGAGAGCCCCACTCATGTGTAGACTCTTTAAGGTGTCACTTTTCATTCATCGGGAAACAATTAAGTGCTAGATTTTGGGATGTTATTGTCATATAAGCATCATAGGAACTAGTTTCTATGGAGACACTCAATGATATTGGGTGTAAGTACACTATTGAAAGTGAAGTGCTGAAAATCTCTTTGGATGCCATGACAGTGATGAAGGAAGATAAAGTGAATTCTTTCTATTATCAACTAAAAGAGACTATGATAGGAAGTGTTGTAGTTTCATCAAGTGAGTCAAAATCAAATAAAACTCAATTACGGCATTTATGCTTGGGGCATATGAGTGAGCCTAGTATGATGACGTCGAGTAAGAGAGAGGTGCTAAAGGGTCAGAAGACAAGAAATCTGGACCTATGTGAATTACATCTTTGGGAAACACAAGGTTAGATTCAATACAAGTGTGCATTCTATCAAGTAGTCAATTGAGTACATCTATTTAGACATTCAAGGCTCGTCTTTGTTTCTTCGAAAGGAGGTGCCCGGAATATACTATCTTTCATCGATGATTATTCAATGAAGGTATGAGTATACTTCCTAAAACACAAATAAGAAGTGTTCAATTGGTTCAAGAAGTTTAAGGCGCTTGTTGAATAGTAGTCAAGTAAACAAATCAAGTGCTTAAGAATTGGTAGTGGCGTGGAATTCTATGGTAATAATTTTACCGAATCATGCAAGAATGGAGGGATTGTGAGACACATCATAGTGCCTAGGACAACATAGTAGAACAGTGTCGCAAGATGGAAGGACAAAACAATAGTTAAGAAAACTCGGTGCATACTTTCACGTGCAGCACTAGGCAATGAATTTTAAGGCTAAATAGTGGACATGGTTTATTACCTAGTTAATCGATCTACATTATCCGCCATAGAGTGGAAGATCACAAGGAAGTATGGTTAGGGAAACTTGAGGACTACTCCAAACTTCAAGTGTTTGAATGTCTTGCATATGCTAATGCAAGTAATAGTAAACTTGAGCCAATGACAAAGAAGTGCATATTTTTAAGTTATGCACATGGGATGCACTGATAGTGGATCACCCAATATTCTAATTAGTAAAGACATGATCATTGATGAGACTACTATGCTTTGACAGATGAGACACAACCAGCAAAGCACACAAATCATGGTGTCAATAGGGAGGTGAAGATTTACGTGGAGGTTCAAGTTGAGACTCTGGAGATTTAAGGCTACGTTTAATGGGTTGGATATAATTCATGATAGGATAATTTTTATCTATCTAGTGTTTGGGGCAATCCAAAATCTGGATATGTCATAATATTGTCCAAATATAAAGTCGAATGAACAAAGAACTTATTCTACCCTCGAATAAAATTATCTCACCTAGGGGGTGGAATATAACTGGATAGAATATGTCTCGTACTCATCTTTCTTCTTCGTCTCCTCGACCCACCCATGGCAACCACCCACAGCTTCAAACACCCCTCCCACCCACCCCAAACCTCCCATCAAGCTCCGTCTCATTGCCACTGACAATGCTCTTCGTGGTGACGAGTTCGACTCGACCTTGGCCTTAGAGGAGCTCCATGGTCAGATTTGGGGCTCCTCCATGGCTGAGCTCAACTCGATAGAGCTCTACCGAACCTTGCCAAGAAGGAGCTCAACTTGACCTTGGCCACAGTCCATGGCCACTCTTGGAGCACCAGTCACTGTCCACGGAGGAGCTCCATGGCCAGATTGGAGCTCGACCAGACCTCGACCATTGTGGAGATCGACCTCATCCTCAAAATGTTGCTTGCAACGACAAAGAAGAAACTTCAAGGACAAGAATCGCAGAGATTTTACATAGAGAAGACAAGGATGAATGAAGGGGATGAACCTAGAATCTGAAAAACGCAGGCCAACAAGTTGAAATGGTGGACGAGATGGTAATCAGGAAAACCAAGAGCAAGTTTCAGTGAAAGAGGAGAAGACTGAGTAGAAGTACATCTAGCTTGAATAAAGAGGGGGTGTAGCAAAGCAGATTCAATTCATTGGGTTTGAAATGATGTGAAATTATTTTCATGGTTGGTTGAATCAAATGTGTTGTAGGATTGTGTTGAAAAATTTGCTTGGGGGTGGATTTGGCATGAAGATCGTGCTGTAAATTAAATCAGCTTGGATACGACGATTCGATGAAGATGGAGGAGGGACTTGTGTTGTTGAATAATTTGCATGATAGTGATGCCCACACAAGTTGGACGTCCACAAGGGCTCGAAGGTCTCGACATTCAATCCGGCATGGGCAGAGAGAAGCCATTATGTCGTGGAGATTGCCAGCAGCGAGAGCCATTATGTCGACATTCAATCCATTTGAGCAATCGATATTCAATCGAACTTGCATATCGGAATATTTATCAATTACTGTATAAGATATTAAAAATCCGATCTTCATCAACCCAATATATATTCTATGTAACCTTATCTTATCTCATAAAAAAGTCTACATGACAAAAAGCACCCTCGAGATATCAAAGGTTGATAGTGTAAATGAAGCCGCGGTTCTTGAAATTTATGATACAAAACAATTAGTAGAGTGTTGAACCGGTCAAAGATACGATATTTTCCTAACAAGATATGATCTTCATTTTTTCCTCATCTTCAGCACAAGATATGATTTTTTTCTCATCTTGAGCACATCAAAGATACGATCTTTTCCTAACATGATATGATCTTGATCTTGTCCTCATCTTCAGCATAAGATACGATATTTTCCTTATCTTCAGCACAAGATGAATATCTCTCTTGAAGTGTGTATATAAAGAGAGTCACTTTGGAAGCGTAAGGTGAGAAATAATCAATACGGAAAATCCCCTTTCACTTTTCTCATCTCTACATCGATTTATTTTCCTGTTATCTCTTTGATCCGATCCTCTGTCAAACTTAGAACCTCATCACAATATTATCGTGGGCAGAAAGAGAAGATAGATTAAACCACCTATATTACTTATGCATTAATTGTAGACGATGCGATGGAGGCACATGAACCTGATGTGATGGCTAATGCTAAGTTGTCATGGTAGTTAGCTTCTATAAGTGAAGAGATGGAATCTCTCTATAGAAAGTAGACATGGAAGCTGGTCAAAGTACCCAAAAGCTAGAAGATTTTTCCGGTGTAAATGGATCTACAAACGAAATGAAGGCATTCCTCGTGTCGAGACATCGATATATAATGCAAAACTTGTCAAGAAGGAGTGTACATAGCGGGTGGGCATTGACCACAATGAGATATTCTTTTTGTGGTAAGATATGCTTCTATTAAAGTGTTACTTGCTTTATTTGTTACACAGGATCTCTAGCTAGAGCACATAGATGCGGAAACAGCGTTTCTTCGACGTGAGTTGGAGGAGCGGATTAACATGAGATAGTCAATATGATTTGTTATTACTATTGTATGATACTCATTTTGATGCCATAAATTTTCAAAAGCGATTTATTTAAGTATCATAACTTTTAAAAATGTTCACTTCAATTACTCCTGGGAAAAACGTTCATCAAGACATTATCATATTTGAGGACGAGTGGACTCTCGCTATGCTGACTCTTGCTCAATCGACAATTGTATTTCTATATTTGAAATGGTTAATCGAGATAATCCGTCTCCACTTGACTCAACTTGATACATCAGAAAATTATTAGTGTGCTGCCGCCGTGTACTCCCCTTCACATGTGATATGAATTCCTTTCAAGTGGGATCAGAGAAATATTCATATTTATGTGAGAAGACACTGTAATGCTCTTATTTGGTCCATTCTTACTTTCTAAATCTGTTTGGAACCTTTCCACGCGAAGATATTACATCCTTTCCCGCTTCAAAATTTGACTAACTATAATTTACCTGCTAACTGTGCATAAATCACAAACTGCCAAAAAAAAAAACAGGCTTAACAGCTGATTTTAAAGAGAGGGAATTAGCAAATA